TATTATTACTACCATCATTATTACTACTGATATAATAATAATAATAATGATAATAATAATAATAATAATAATGATAATTATCGTTATTATCACTGTAACATTATTGTTATTGTTATTCATTTTGTTATTGTTATCTTCATTATTATCATGAATATTATGGATGTTATTATAATTATTGTTATTACTACTATTACTATTAATATCATTGTTATTATTATTGCTTTTTATCATTAATAGGATTATTTTCATTATCATTATTATCATCACTTTTATTATCATTATAGCTGGTAGAAAAAACCACAATGCACAAACTAGATGGATGGAAGATAGAATCGAGGACAATTCCGAAACTGTTGGCTCACTTTCTTCAGTATATATAGTTTGTGCATTGTGGGTTTTCTACCATAGTATTAACACGGTAGAGTGTTTTTCCATTCATCATTATACCTATTATTATCATTATTATCATTATTATCATTATTATTATTATCATTAATATTATTATTGTTATTATTATTATTATTATTATTATTATTATTATTATTATTATTATTATTATCATTATTATTATCATCTTTATTATCAACATTATTATTATTACATTATTAATTATTACTATTATCATTATTATCATATCATTATCATTATTCATTATTATTATTATTATTATTATATCATTTATTATTATTATTATTATTATTATTATCATTATTATTATTATTATTGTTATTATTATTATTAGTAGTATTAGTATTGTTGTTATTATTGATTGATTATTATTATGTTTAATAAGACTATCATTATTAATATTATCATTATTATTGTCATTATCCGTATTATCATTATTATCATTACGTTTATCATTATCATTATTATCATCATTACCATTACTATTATTGTTATCATTGTTGTTGCTGGTATTATATAATTTCATCATTATTTTTGGTGAAGATGATGATGTTTCATTGCTATTATTATCATATATATATCATATCATCATCATTACATTATTATTATTCATTATATTATTATTATTATTATTATTATTATTATTATTATTATTATTATTATTATTATTATTATTATTATTATTATTATTATTATTATTATTATTATTATTATTATTATTATATTATTATTATTATTATTATTATTATTATTATTATTATTATTATATTTTATCATTATTATTATCATTATTATTGTCATTATCATCATTATTTTTTTATTATCATTATGTTATCATTATTACTATCATTGTTATCGTTACTACTACTACTACTATTATTATTATTATTATTATTATTATTATTGTTAGCATTATTATTACTATTAGTATTGTTATTATTGTTATTGTTATTATTATCATTATTATTGACATTGTTATTTTCATTATTATTGATATTACTGTTATTGTTGTTATCATTATCATCATTATCATTATTATTACTATTATTACTAATATTATTATTATCATTGTCAGTATCATTTCCATCAGTATCCTTATCATAATCACTATCATTTTTGTGTTAATAGTAGTAATGACAATAATGTTGATAATAACCGTGGTAATAATGGTAATAATGATGATGCTGATAATATTGATAATGATGATGATGATGAGAGTAGTAGTAATAATAGTAATAGTTATAATGATACCGATGATAACTGTTGTTATCATATTGTTTATCATCATTACACTTTTATTGTAATAATCATATTATCACTACTCTTATTATCATTATCATAGTAATGGTAATGATAGATGTAATAGTAGAGATTGTAATAGTAGAAAGAGGGGCTGTAGTAGGAATTGTAGTAGTAGTTCTAGTAGTACTAGTAGAAGTCATCGTAGCAGTAGTAGTTAGAGTAACAGCAGTAATATTACTAATAGTAATAACAGCGGTAACAGTACTATTGAGATTATGATCATTCATATCACTCTTACTATCAAAATCAGTTTTCACTTAACTCTCAACATCCTCCTCTCCCTCAGTCCTTTTCTCATTATCATCGCTGACATTTTCACTGAATCCCATTCTGAAATCCGCTGTCATGATTAGAGGTGGAGTCAGAAAAAACTTAATTGTCCATATAATGAGCTGAGTCAAGCGCGAGTCAAGATACAGTCAATGTTGGATTAAAAGTCAGTCATTGAGTCAGTAAGACAAAACAGTCACCCAGTCAGCAACAGATGTCATCCAGTTAGGAACAGATCTCATAGTTATATAGATCTGTAGCTCAGTCAGTCACATAGTAACATTGATTATTCGCCCAGTTAGTCACACAGTCAGTCGAGAGCCAGTCATAGTGTAATTCAGGAATGATAGATCGATGAGGGATCAGTCACTGGGAATGGGTCTTCGAGGCTAGAGATTAAGAAGGCGTAGAGGCTGATTTCTCGTAGGTGGAACACGGGCTACTGACCTTTATTGCACGTATTCAAAAACACGTTGGCGATGCTGGAGTTTTTAAAGATATTGATATACGTGATCTCATGTAGGCCTATGAACAATTGAGATATGCTCACACAATAGTTTCTAGCCATGAACAAAAAAAAAGAAAAAAAGAGAAAAAAAAACACTCAAAAACAATCTAAAAGAGAAAACCGACGACAAAACACACGAGAACCGAAGAAAAAAATACAAATAAAACGAAGAGTGAGAAAAGAAAGAGAGAAAGACCTCAAACTAGCTAACAATTATGAACGCAAGGAAACAGACGAACAAGTGCAAAATGGAGCTATGGAATATATAAATCCATGAACCCGCTGAGGGGAGCCCGAGTCTGGAATTCTAGTGACATTCCAGAGCGAGGGAGAGAGAGAGGGGACTCGGGCGCGTCCCCTTGTTAGAGCCGAGCGACCTGTAGCCGAGACTCACACACCCCTCGCCGCGGCTGCCTCGCTGCCCT